CAACCTCGTCCCCAGGGCCATCTCGGCCGACTCCTTTTCAAGATGGCGGTCGTCGGGGAGATGACCCTGGCGTTGGCTGGAATCACGTGATCAAAACCTCCAAGATTTTTGGAGGTTTTGATCACGTGGCTTATCTATTCAAAATGGCGCTCGAAACGTGAACTCAACGGTTTCACAAACTGGGATAGCTGTGGTGGGTCGGTATTTGCTTTGTTTTGATGATTTATTTGAAAAATGTCCTTCCGTCCTGCCGTCATCGGCAGTGTTGACCCCTAGACCGCCTACGGGAGTAGATCCAGTTCATTCTAGAATTCTTGAGGGATCCGCTCACTGCAGAAATCGGCGAGTAGAAGACTTCTATAACATCGAATGCTATCGCTAAATATATCCGTCAAGTTAAATTTCTTACACGAGTAGTTGGCATCTCAAAACCACGCATTGGACAAGAGAGACATAAGAGGACAACTGACAAGAATTCCAAAGAATATCGTTGCTTTTTAATCGACAAAACGTACCTTAATTAAATTTCGGGAATATTTGAATAAAAACAATGAACGCATCGTAACGGTTAAATCAATAACCGATCAAAGACCTAACGGTTATCCGGACATACCGACAGTGTCGAACACATCCCGACCTATAGACGAACATAAACAGCCAATAATGAGTGATATAAGAAAAGGCATTTTGAATAGCCAATCAGAAAGCGGCTTAGTTTAGCCAACGCCAGGGTCATCTCCCCGACGACCGCCATCTTGAAACGGAGTCGGCCGAGATGGCCCTGGGGACGAGGTTGTGAAAACTTTTCTCAAGAATCCAAGATGGCGGACACTTCCACCGATAACAGAGAAAAAAATACCCAAAAAACTATCAACAAGTGCTTAAAAGAAATAACAAGAGCTTTCTCACTGAGAATTGGACTAGGATTTTGTATTTGTGAAGTTTCAAGCTTGCTAGTTGCCATTTCAAGAGGTTATCGCATCGAAAATAGTACAAGTTTTTGCTTCAATTTTTTGATTTCGTTTGTGCGAAAGAAAGTTTTATTATATGTTATAAACTAATGTTTTTTCCTAGCTTTGATAGTAAGACAAGTGTAAAAATTGTTTGTCAAGGAGAAAATAAAAAGAATCAGTATGCATTGATGATATTTTTTGGAAAACAAACTCGCCGTCAAATTAATTCCAAATTGAACTCGAAACCATCTTATTACCTATACTTATAAACCAAGTTGAGTTGCGCTCAACTTGTTCATGAAATACATATTCGAAAAGCTGTAATTCGAATCACTTTAGAATTTCTGTAGGTACGTATTAATTATTTGAGGTCGGTCCGCGGAGCGAAAAAACAGATGTCGGATGAAACTCTCCAAGACTGCACTCACGCAAATAGGAATCGTGACAGACTGCAATTCATTACGATATTCCCTTTGATAATAGACATTGATTCCCTTTGTTTTGCACACAAAACAATTAAAACCTCCTTATTAAAAATGCAATGATAATTAAAATTTAATTGCAACTGGTCTAAGAGAACTGCAAGTGACCGTTAACCGAGTTTCAACAATGATTCAAGTTGCACCATTCAGAGTCTTCGATATATTTTCGTTCTACATCTTTTGACTCTGAAAAACTGTATTTTCCAAACGTTTTAACCACTTTCACAATGCACCTGTAGAAACAATTTGTTCAGTAATTTGATTTTTCATCACTTGATGACCTCCATCAATTTATAGTTTACAAAATGAAGCTAAATTTAATGACGTATAATGTTGGCGAGCAGAAGTATACAAACAATATTTAAGAAATATAAAACGGCGCACGTGTCTCTGTCTTCTGATTTAAACACGGTCGTCAGCCAATCAGAGCGCGCTTTGTTTATCAAAAATTTTATAAAAACAGTTATAACTCATTTTAGAAATAAAAACAACACTTCAGTTTGTTTGTTTTTTAGTCAGTTCAATCCTAATTACCCCCGATTCTTAAAATTGAAACTATTGTTCATTTTGTGAACCACGAAAAACAAACAACAAAAGCGAAAATATCCTCAACCTTGTTTGTGCCCAGACTACAAACCGTTTACCATCAGACAAAACCCAGAGACCTGATGTGACAGAACTATTTGTCTATTTGTTGTCTCGTGTTACGGAGTGTAATGTTACAGAATCGCAAAGGCCCTTGTAGCGGCCGAGCCTGTCTGCCCTGAGCAACGCGTAGTCACTGAGTAGTTTGTCGTCTTATGAAGATTTATTCTCCAAAGAGACATCTAGAAATAACAATGCATGAGGTACCGAGTCAATACGCACTCTTGGAAGAGCTAGAAACTAAATCTACCAACCAGAGGCAGCGTATTGGAGCTTAAAGCGCTGTGATAAGGTAATGTATGTAGGTATAGTCATTCTAGAGAGATATGTAACTGTAACTGTACAACAAATATCGAGTATAAGCTGATCAATCTGGAAGGAAAAAATCGCAAATTCTGTCATTTGCGTTTGTTGCTCGATATAATCTTTTCAACGTAGACATCTCAAGGCAGATGGAATCGACATCGGTAACACGATAATTTCTCGAAATCATCACTGCTTCTTTGTTATCAAAACCGAATTCATTATATATATTTAAGTCCTTAAATATGGAACTTAAATTTATATTCCAATCCTTGTAAAAAAAATTCAGTGTTTTAAAAGACTTTGTTTAAACCCGAAGAATTCCACTACAAAGGATATAAGGAATCGATTGTAGTCGAGCCGGACTTGAAACTTGATCTTAGCTTCTTTCTAGTTCACAACCCTACAAGGCTAGGATGCATAATGTACGCCTCTGTCAAGGTGCACCGATCAGTTATATATTATTTATCAGCATAACTATTATGAATAAATGTGCACCTATATGTTTTTCTTAAATTCATAAAGTTAAAAATATTTTTGATAGACATGGCACACGCTAAGATTGTGTGACACTGCAGTAAGGCGCCTCGGAATAGAAACTTGCTTTATGGTTATATTAGGAATTTTCAACAAACAAAAAAATCTATTGACCTCGAGAGATGATTGAAATTTTCAGAGGGTTACATTTTATAATGTGTGTCAGTTATAATGGTATTAAAAGAGTATTTTACATTGTAATACCATGCTCGGTCGACGTCCTTGTACGTTCTCTAGTGTCACACTTGTGGCAATTAAATCTGATTTTACGATTTCTCCTTCAAGAAACTCATTTTTGATCGCCAAGCTGTGCGTATGCTTCAAAGATTTTAACAATTAAAGCGTTTCCTTTAACTTCCTCAATGAAATTAAAAGCCGATAGTACTACTCCATATTTGCTATATTTCTAGTCTGATATTCGCCAGAATCGGTCCAATCACTTTTGTGCGCGTTGTTCTTATAAAATGTTGCCTGGATGGAAGGATTCGGACAAGCTATTCCATTATTTTGAAACAGTTTCAAATCTCCCGCCCTTCTGACGAGATATGGAAGTCCATTGCATCGTAATACTTAACGCCCGCTTTGTAACGAAGTATGTCAAATTAATGTATGCATAATTAATAGTTAATGGTTAATTAACTATGATAAATGATTTGATTTTAATTTGGGGTTAATGTTTTTTTGGTATGTGTAAAATTAGTTGACATCCTGTGCTCAAAGAACGAAGCTGCAGTGATACCTATGCGAAAATAAGATCCGTATAAACGTAACGAAGACCGCAATGGCCACTCTTGAGAAACCCAAGACATCAATGCGAAACACAAGAGAAACTCAAGACATCCATGCGAAATTCAAGACATGGATACGAAACCAGGCACTTCCGCACAAAACCAAAGACATCCGATCAAAACACTTTGCAGGAAGGAAATACCATCTTCTAACGTAACGCTCTAGTGCTTGCGTATCGTAAGTATATGTACGTAAGTATTTCTACTAACACTGCAGCCTTTCTCGCTCAACAGGGTACTAACATCCTCTTCAACAGGTTTACTAACTCCACACTTACTTCCACAGGTAACTAACACTTTCCATTACAGCCTACTAACAACCTTTATTGCAGGATTGAAGAGAAGACTTCATAACAAGTAATTTAGTCATACGAGGAGATAGTAGCCTCACAGCCCGTGACGCGCTTTCTTGTCGTTAGATTATGATATTGCGTGACACGTCACGCAATATCAATGTGGTGATTACGCTATGTAACGTAATTGCTTTTTGTGCAAAGCAAGCTTTGTGCAAGTAATCGTGACACCTTCCATACCATGGTAGATAGATAATCTTATAGCCACCAACTAAGTTTACGTGTTGTAATTAGTTATGCATGCACGCAGCTTACTAGTTTTCAATCATAGGTCATTGGACCAAACGGACCCCCCGGAGATCCAGGACTTCAGGTAAGAATCGTTAAGGTGTAAGGGTGGGGTTAGGAGATTATTTGATGTATTTATTGAGTTATATTCTAGGGAAGACTTGGACCACCCGGACGACGTGGGTACATTGGTGAACCAGGACCGGCGGTAAGATAAACGTATCACTCCTCCGCACGCACATAACCTTTTCATTGACATTGTGCGCTTGATAGACTAACCCTCGTGGTTGCTCTAGTTCAGATGAAATGGTGTATTATTCCAAATGCAACCTTTCTTTTAAATGAACAGTTTTTGATGTATACAGTACTTTGAATACCCTCTTACAATCTTATTGCCAAAAGGGAGACAAAGGACCTAAGGGAGGCGATGGACCCCCAGGAAATCCAGGAAATCCTGGTCCACAAGGACCTCCTGGACCAATGAAAGTCAAGGTAAGGTGGCTGTCATTCAAGGGTGAATGGAGAGGGGGGGACATCTATAGATACACGTAACTTACTCGGAACGCTTCAATGGAATGCAATTAAGTTTAGAATTTTCGCTTTGTAACGCAACCAACCTAGAGGTTTATTGCAATAAAGCATGTGGTCTTGCAATGCATGCTATTATGCAGTATAAAGTATTCATTATTCGACGTTTTCTGAAATAGATGTATGCTAAGAAGAATTAGTTTAGAATAAATGTTTGCTTTTTTCATATTGTTATGTTGTGATTATGATCGCAATTGTGATTTTGATTGTGGTAGCGATTACGTTTGCTGATAGTGATAGAGATTGTTATTGCAATTGTTGTTGCGGATTGTTGTGATTATAACAGCAAGAGTGATTGCAATTTTGATTGCATTTGAGTGTGATTGCAATTGCAATTGTGATAATGATTGTGATTGCCATCGTATCATTATGTCTAAAGAAGCATTTTTTGCCAGACAATTCCTGGACCTAAAGGACCTGTTGTCGTACCTCAAATCACTTATGGCGGCGCTGGTGCTCTACAAACAATGGTAACTATGTTGACAATGAACGATTCTTTCATTACAATCACTAACGAGATCTTGATGTATTTAGGGCGACCCAGGACCACCTGGCCGACTAGGAAGTAGAGGACACGATGTGAGTTAATAGAACCTTTATTGTGATAACGACGTTTTGTGCCATCACAGAATCATTTTCTTATTATTATTTGTATTGCCAAGAATACGTGCCCCCCTTTTCAAAATCAAAAAAAGATTAGATTTCATAATATTTCTTTTTCAAGCTATTTATTACTTTTATTAGAAGAATGTGGATGTGAATAAAATTGAAAGCAATAAACTCGTGAAATGGAAATTACTGTCTTTAAACGATGTTTGTTTGTAGGGACGTCCTGGAATACCCGGACCACGTGGTGCACCTGGAGAAAGAGGACCAATGGTGAGGCCTGTTTATAGCCAGCGTAGCCAGGCTTTCCTAGTCGCTTCGAGAGAGTTTGGGCCGGTCGAGGCGCAGGCTACCCTGTTTAGAGAATCAAAGCCATACTGGTTTTCATATAATACGTTACATGAGTTATAAAGAAAGTTGCTTAAAGAATTTCTGTCATAGGGAGTGATTGGACTCATTGGACCCCCCGGACCTCCTGGACGTCCTGGCGAAGATGTACGTATAGCCTTTTGAAAACCTGTTTATATTTCCGTAAGACATTGATTGTTTTGAATTTTCTCAACAGGGAGACCCTGGTTCTCGAGGACGTCAGGGACCACGTGGAGATCCTGGTCGAAAGGGACCTCCTGGTCACCGAGGCAAATCTGGACTTGCTGGACGAGATGGACATCGTGGTCGTAACGGACGTAGAGGCAAAAAGGGAGATCGTGGTGGCGATGGTGATCGGGTATGGAAATACGTTCTTTACATTGAATAATATAAAAACCCCTCAACTTGGCTTAAGCGGAAAATAGAGTCTTAGAATAAGAGCATTAGTTAGACTGATTCCACTAGTCTGTCTGGTCGCTTTTTTTTCTGCTCCCGTAGTTGAAGTGAGAATTCAAACCGACCAATGGAAACTACGACTTCTGAAATCAGTCTAGAGCATTAGTTAGTTTTCATGCGYTATATGAATGCAATGTTTTTCTATTTAGGGATTAGTTGGTGTGGTTGGACTCAACGGAATCGATGGTATTGATGTAAGTACATTAATCTAGTTACAACAAAAACTGCAATAAATTCAGTAATTCTAAACTTCACTTCTTATTCCCATTCTTCGAATCTAAATTCTTATTACTTTATTCTTTCAGGGTGAGCGAGGACAGCGCGGCCAACCAGGAATGATCGGTGACGCTGGACCATCTGTAAGTTCTCTTTACTTCTGTTCAGAATTACGTTTCATACTAACGATCTGTTTTGATCTGTTGATAGGGTCTATCTGGACCACGTGGTTCATCAGGTCGTGCTGGATCACAGGTGATATTCTTTAAGTATCATTGATTTTTTAGTTTCTCCGCCTAAAACTACCGATGAAGAGGGTTGTGTTAGTACAACAATCGGCGAACTAGTAGTGTGGACACTAGATGTCCAGTTGACAAATTAATTATTTACTTATTAATTATTTACTTCTATTATGTGTGTTATAGGGCAGCGCCGGTATAAATGGCCCTGCTGGTCCCCCAGGACCGCGAGGACCCAAGGGTGTACCTGGGCGCTCAGGCAACAAGGGACCCATGGGTTACTCAGGGGAAACTGGTATAACTGGTGTCCCTGGTCTCAAGGGAGTGGCCGGTAAAAACGGCGAAGCTGGAGAACAAGGCAATGCAGGACCTAAAGGCGCCAATGTGAGTAGCAGCTTATGCCTGTTATTTATCGTTAATACTGAGTCTTTTTAATGCATTGTATGAAAGAATTGCTCTAATTTGGGTTTCGTTGTAAGGTGAGAGTGACCTCGTAATTGTTTTCGATTACTACAAGACTATCAAATAGATTATCAAATCTTTTTGGTAACTCAACACTTTACCAACCCTTTTTGGTGGTGTTGGATTAGTGTTTCATTGATGGAGCAACAAACTTGTTGAACGGCGTTTGACCAAACAAAAACCTGTGAAGTGATAAAAAAATATTGGATCGAATAATATTTGATGGTTTTGGTAGTCTGACATTTCTCCTTTGACTCGGCTTAAGTCTCGCTTTTGTTTACAGTCATTGGTGAGGTTTTGATATTTGCTATTTCAAACACGTTTTCCTGATTGCATTTCTAGGGTGACATTGGAGGAGCTGGCGAACAAGGTCCTATTGGAGAGACTGGAGCTAGAGTAAGCTGTTATTGCCGTACTTTTGGAATATCAATATTGTTTATTGATATCTTATTTTTGTCCAGGGAATGTCTGGTAACTCAGGTGGTCGAGGTGCACGTGGGGATGTGGTACGTAAGACGATAGTCCTATTTCTTTTAGTCCACGAACACCTAAAGCATATACTCACATGAAAATAACTTATATTCTGAAGAGATTCTTATCGCTGACATATATAAATATATAGAGTAGCTGATTTTTCAAAATGAAGCCCTTAATGATTTTTCCTTAAACTGATGATTGATTTGCAATCTTACTTGGATATCAAAACAGAGCGAAAATCATATGAAATTATCCATGATGTACTAGACATATTGATATATTTTGGTGGTCAAACGTTTTGCAAATCACTGTATTGGTTAAAACAATTAAAACTATTATCAATCTTTCTCATTGGACAGGGAGACGCAGGAAAGGTCGGTGCAGACGGAGAGGTTGGCACTAAAGGCGGACCGGTAAGATTACTCACTTAGTTGACAATGCAAAAAGTAAATTGTTAAACAACGTATATGATTGTTATTTTAGGGTAAACCTGGTGATAGTGGCGGTCAAGGACAGCCAGGACCCGTAGGGAAAAGAGTAAGATAGTTATAAATGAAAAATATTGAAAAAATCTCGCAAATTACAGATTATTCTGAGTAATTGAAGTAGTTTGACGTAAGTTGTATAAATCGTAAAAAACAACTGCGCGCAAACAGGAATTTTAAATAACTCCGTACAATTCCTTTTGTTCGCACTCTACATCATTCATGATATTCCATACTCGAGTTCAGTGAACACGAACAAAGCATTGAACCGAGACATCAACGGCGAGCATAAAAGAAAAGATTTAAGCTCAGTATTCCTTAAAGCCTCAGTACAATGCTTTGTTCATGGCCACTGAACCTGCGTACGGAAATTCGTGAACATGAACGAATTCCGCTAGAAGTAGTTATAGTACCTTTTAGCTCTACAGTGGTATAACTTTTTTTATATACAGGGAGCTCCAGGTCAAGCTGGACTTGCAGGTCGGCCAGGGCCCCCTGGAAAAAGGGTAAGCTAATCAAAATAATTGCTGCTAACTTTTTATGATAATGATAACGATAGCGATGACAGATCAAAGATTACGGATGAAATCCGGACACAACATATTTCGTAAAAAGTCTAAAAACATAATTGAACTACAAAGAAGGATCGAATTATACCCAAAATTGAATACATTTTGCAACGTAGTCAAGCAAAAGACACTTTTGTAAATGTGTTGCGGAACCGAAAGCAAAGAAGTTAAGAGCGAACTTTGAGGCAAATCTTGGAATCATGTTTGTTTATTTATTGCAGGGCATGGTCGGCTCGCAAGGGTTCCAGGGAAAACAAGGTAGCAGAGGCACTAAGGTTAGTAGAAGTGTCATATTTATTGCATTCTGCTCACGGTTTTGTTGACTTTTGTTTCATTTTTAAGGGATCTGGTGGTGAAACTGGAGCTCGCGGAGGATCTGGAAACAAAGGAGATGCTGTAAGGATTTTTATATTTATTTGTTAATCGATTTTTATATGTATTTGTTGGTCGTTTAAATCGTCCTATACCGTATTAGCCATTTCGGAGTTGCGCAGGGGACTGGGCACTAATCTAATCACGAAACAAACCCCACCCCATGAAAGGACACCCAAAAATTAGTAAATATACCAAACGTTTGGATAAAAACTAGCTGAACTGTATTTATTCCTAGTTTCATCAAATTAACAGAGAATGTATTGTTTTGGGGGACGCGGTCAAAATCCCCATACGTTCTCTGTAAATTGCACGGCTTCTCATTAATTTGTCCAAATGATCTGTAACTTGGAACCTACACTAAAGTAGATAAAGTCTTTTTAGTGATATGGTTCGTTTTTCGATTAGCTCAATATGACAGAAATTGCAATTCATTTCTCCGAAATGGTTAATAGTTATAGTCACAGTTAACTCACACACTTTTCATGATGTTGTATTTCAACTTTATCGTATTTTTTTTCTCAAACAGGGCGAAACCGGAGGTTCTGGGGCCACAGGACCCAATGGCGAACGGGGTGCACGTGGCCGAGCTGGCAATCCTGGAAAAGATGGCGGCAGAGGACTTCCTGTAAGACATATACTCATCAAAATACACTTTCAATGCCACTTAGATTCCTGCTATTTTCCCATGAATAAACGCATCCTTTTTGATCAAGTGCTACTTGAGTTTGTGTTGTTAAACTGATTGAAACAGGATTTAAGGTGGCCTGTAGATGTTTTCGAGGTTTCCTTTTGTTGGGTGAAATTCCACCGTCAATTCACTGAAGTAACGTTGTTTTTCTCTTTAAAACTACAGGGAGATGGTGGCGACGATGGAAGAGCTGGTGAGAAAGGCCCTCCAGTGAGTATCCATTGATTTACTGTGCATTTCATAAGTATCTAAACTATTTTAGTGCGATTCTGAAAATGTTTCTGTACATATTTATAGCAATTATAACCTAATGGCTGTTTCTGTTTGTAGGGTGCTCGTGGACCAACAGGACCAAGAGGTCTTATGGGACCTAAAGGAAAGACGGTACGTTCCTTTAACTACTCAAGCTACCTTCATACAACAAAAAAACTTTTCTCTCATAACTTACACTTACCACTACTGAGTACCTACTCACTACCCACTACAGACTAAAGTACTTATGTCGTTTTGCAGGGTAAACAAGGCAAAATCGGTGTAACAGGAAAAGTTGGACCATCAGGAGTGAAGGTAATTTAACTAGTCGTCACTTCCTGTAAGAACTCTTAAAAAAACGTTTGTTTAAAATTTAGCCGAGTCCATTAAAGTGAAGGAAGTATGTCTTTTAAAAGCATTTTGGTTGCAATTAATTTTGGAAAAGTATAAAGCGTCTCCATGCACATTTTGTGGCACGTTTCCGCGTGATGACGACGTGTGTTTTCTGGTGGGCCTATTAGATGTTGTTATAAATCACACAGGCTGCCCAGCAAAATACCAATGAGGTTATACCAATGAGGTTATACCATTGAAATATGCCGAATATCATGGTCAAGTTTGATGGAAAGTAGCTTGAAATTAAAACAAATCGTTTTAATGTTTCAGGGAGAACAAGGTGTTGTAGGAGCGAGAGGTTTACCTGGTGTAGCTGGCGAAATGGTAGGTACAAGTGAAACCAGAGTTGTGATAATATTCGCTTATCATTAGGATGATGTGGATGATGATGATCGAATTTCATGTAAATTGATACACCTAATTACAAAAACGTTGTCCTGAGATTTATGAATTAGGAAATTAGGAATGCATTAAAAGACAAAAGATGAATACTGAAGCTGAGCACTTTCTTTCGTATTTTGATTATTTCCTAAAAAAAGTTATTTTTCTTTGACAATGTTGTGTAATTGGGTGTGTCTGTGAAATAGTCTTCTCTTCTACTCAGCACGGGCAACATTTGTACCATTTCAAACCCGGTAATAAGATTCTTTCTCTTCCATGGCAACGCTTGAGAAACACATAAATGCTTAAGTAAAAAGAATTTTATGGAAAAGGCAAAAGACACTCGGGCTGTACAGCTTCTTTTCTTGTGTTAAATGCCTTGCAAAATTCCTTGCAAATGTAAAAGTGTAAATCAGTACGCATTGCTATCAGCCAAGTTGTGTTGCTACTGTAACAACAGTGCCTTACTTTTCTCTTTATCAGGGTGGAGCTGGCTCAGTAGGTGGGGCAGGTCCTGTTGGCGAGCCAGGTGGTCAGGTAGGTACTTATATCATGACATACCTTTATTTTTACTATTCATAATGCATCTTTGTTCATCTGTTCAGGGTGGCGCAGGAAAGCTCGGATCACGTGGCCTTGCTGGTAAACCCGGAAGTGACGTAAGTGAATAAGTAAACTTGTTGACAATTTAAATAATTTTTATATTTATGCAATAATAAAATAATGTTTATAGTATTACGAAGACGGTSACAATTGACAAATGTTTTATGATGATGTAACATTTACTGAGTTTTGTATTCCAGGGTCCTAAAGGAAACACTGGGTTATCCGGCAATGATGGACGAAATGTAAGCATATTTCGCTGCATTCTTAGTTGGATTATTCATTGTACTATAAAGCTGACAAAATCCTCGACTTTTCCAGCGAATTTTCTTATTTTATGCAACACCCGCAGACAATTTCATCCCCCCTGACCCCCTAAATGCAATGTTGTCATTGAGCATGTTACCATAGTACACAACCATCCAAAACAGCATTGATGAAAGGGGGCTAAAGGGGAGAAATGTCAAAAAATTAAGGAGAAAAATGTTAGGCTGGAGACAAATAATTCTATGGTACAAGGTTTTTTGGCAACGATTGTACTTACGATTTTGAATCGTGTTGCGATCTACAGTGAATCGCACGTCATATAAATGCAAAGTCGTGTACTTTGATCACCGCCATCCCTCTTATTTGTGCGCAATGGATATTTCTCGACTATGATTAAGTATTTTTCTATACAATGTTTTGATATTATTGTTATTTCCTATATTTCTAGGGAAAGGACGGCCCTGTTGGCGAAAGAGGAACAATTGGTGCAGTGGTATGTTTGTTCGTCCCTTTGTATCTTTCTTTTCCTGCCTTTGCCATTTGTCTGTCTGTCTTGTTGTCTCGGTCGGTTCTTTATCTATGTTTTCATGTACGTTTAGGGTGACCCAGGCAAAACTGGTGAATCTGGCAGCACTGGACGCCCAGGAGTCAGAGTGAGTAAAAATACATCTCTTATTAACACTGAAAATGTATTCACCAATATGAAAAACATATTGTATTCATTTCCAGGGCGTATCTGGAGCCTCGGGCGCTACTGGTGCCGATGGTCGTGCTGGACCAACGGTTAGTCATTCTATCGCATTCATGTTGCAGCCAATCTTGTTAAAACGAGATGAGAAGTGAAATTCTTACTTACATTCTCTTCCATTCTACGCACATTTTAGGGTTCTCCTGGTCTACCAGGCGACTCTGGCAAAAATGGTGGGAAAGGCGGAAGAGTAAGTCCTAAATTATAATTTACAACTCTTAACACAAATCAACAATAACAGTACAATCTATACATAGAGCTGAAACTAAATCCATATTTTTTTATGTTTTCAGGGAGACGAAGGAAATACAGGAGCACGTGGTGAAGGAGGACCAGATGGCGGGAAGGTAAAAATGACTAGTGAATACATTATGCAGTTGTTTTCCTTCGTCCGTGATAAAATAGCAAGTCTGACAGTTAGAAGTAGACTTTTGTCTTGTTCTTGCCATCTAGTACAAACTGGACTTTTGACTTTTACGGTCGAGTATGTACATCTATGTATGTCAACTCAGTTGTGTTTTGCCATTACTTTTCCTTCAAATGAAGACTCGATTACAATGTTTAATGCTTAATTGATATATATATTATACGGTTCTCAGAGTTCTTCTTGGTTCTTCATGTTTAGGGTCCTGACGGAGGCGACGGTGAACGAGGGCCTCTAGGTACTAAAGGAATGCCGGTAAGAGTTGGTTTCTTGCTTTTAGTTATTCAATAAATGAATAATATAAACTAGGAAGAACGGAAGATGAACTTGAAAGAAACGAAGAAAACAAAAAACAGAATGAGATGGATGGAGAAACTGAAGTGAGAAAGAAATTTAGAATGAATATTATCCTTTTCATTTCAGGGTGAGCGTGGTGACGATGGTGCTGCAGGTGATCCAGGAAATGCTGGTGATTCGGTAAGACACACCTCTCGTTACTATATCTGTATACATTCTTGCCATAGGGAAAATAACATGTTGCCCAGCTCGGTTTTCTAACGGTTGCGTAATTTACAGGGAGCACGCGGAGACCAAGGAGGTGTAGGCAAGACTGGCCAAATGGGTCTTCAGGTATATAGACGTTTTGTTGGTGTTGATATGATACAAAGCACGCTCTAATTGATAGTTTATTGCTTACAGGGCACTACAGGTGCTGCAGGACCACAGGGTGTCATTGGCGGACAGGGACAAAAGGTAAGTAACGTATCAAGTATTTGGTCAGACATCGACAATGGAGTGTCTATGGCGCAATAATAACGAATCTTGAAAAAAGGTGAAGCGGTCATGAATAATATGCTGCTAGAAAGAAGTGATTTCGGCGTAATTTGATAGAAAGGAATTCATTGAAAGACAAAGGGATCGCTAATACTGAACTCTCTCTCTTCTATCAATAATGAACTCCTCTCTCATCAAATCACTCTTGTTTCCCCGTTTTAATGACAGTGTTGATTTGATTATGTATTATCAAGAATCTCAAAATTGTAACAGCATGACAGTGTTTGATTCTGTAATTAACGTGGTCTTTCAGCAAGTGTCATGATCATCTTGCTGTGAATAATCGTGATAATGTGAGTTTTATTACTTTACAGGGGGTTCGAGGAGAACGTGGCGAAACCGGTTTTGTTGGGTCAGCGGGTCTGCAGGTAAATATGCTGAATGACGAAATATTTTTAAACATAAATCATACTTGTAACAGTGTAATATGGTGCAATAGTCCCGGTTTATTCATGATCAGGAACATGGAATTATGCCATATTCAGGTCATTGATTAACATGGTTGATTGAATTTCAGGGATCTACTGGATCCAAAGGTCCTAAAGGAGGAATCGGCAACCAGGGTCCATCTGTAAGTATACGAAAAATGCACTTTTGATCCATTTATATTTTCTACAAAAGTATAATCTGACACTTTTCAGGGCGAAGTGGGTGGTCCTGGAGGTCTTGGATTACCTGGTCCAACTGGTCCATCGGTAAGTTTGAATATAATTGAATCCATCTTTAAGTCGTACTTTTGCACTCAGTTTAGGAAGGACTCGGAATAAGGTAGTCACTCACTCACCCACTCACTCACCTTTCTGTAAACTTCTAATAACTGCTAACTAGTTCCCAGTCTGTGGCGAAATAAAGGCAGCATTCTCAAGAAAGATTCATTATTTCTCACGGGATTTTGAGTAACATCAGTTTCTACCAATTATCTGCTTTTTTATTTAGGATGTTGATGAAGACATACAAAACAATTAGAAGTTTGCATGATTTTAGATAAGTTTCTTTTCTCACTAACGCTTTAATTGTAGGGACCTGGAGGTATCGCTGGTAAACCAGGTCCTAGCGGTACACCTGGACAAAAGGTATGTTAACAATTATCATTGTATTTGTCGTCTTTTTTCTATAATTGCTAATAACAATTTCCTATTGATTATCCCGGTAACTAGGGCCCCCCTGGTGATGCAGGATCAGCTGGAGATCTTGGTGAAGAAGGAGAACCGGTAAGAACCTTACATTCATAGCTCTCATCAACTGATGCTACTACTTTGCGCCTGTCTACCAGCTATCTGAATAAATAGACATGTAGTGATATTCCTTTGAAATAACCATTATTGTGAATAGGGTAAAGACGGAAAGGACGGCATAGATGGCGGTTCAGGAGAGATTGGTTCAGCGGTAAGTATCTCGTTTACTGATGTTAGCATTGCTTGTGTGGCTTGGGAACAGGAAGAAATGAGAGCCAGGGTAACCATGGCGACGCACCCTATCAAAGATTGTGGCTGAACAATTTGAGAAATTGCCAAAAGAAACTTCTAGATAGGTGTTGCAGCACCGGGAACAAAGAAATGGGAAACAAAAAATTTTGATTGATGTCCCATAAAGTACTATTTGTTTTTTAATATCCATGATTTCGTATGTTACTCTATAATCTATCATTATATATATTTCATATTGCATGACATTGATTCTTTTGTGTCGTATAGGGAACAATAGGACCTGGTGGACTTCCTGGCGAATCTGGACCCGGTGGACCACGGGTATGTTGCCATTTTGTATAACACTCCTTGACTTCTGTAAAAAATACTGTATTGCTGCCTGAACAAGGTCCCAGAACATTATTTGTTTAAATATGGCATGTCATCATTCATTTTGACGGATAGTTATTTCTATCTGATGTCATGTAGGGTGGTGTTGGCCTTCCTGGAAATGCTGGTGCCGATGGTATTGGAGGACTCAAGGGTGAATCTGGAGCTTCTGGCAAAGACGGCAAAGCTGGACCCGGCGGACCATCCGTGAGTTTGTTACTGATTTTATAGTCTAGATTCTTTTTCGCACGTTACTTTGGAAGGTCTAAAATGCCTTGAGCTTACAGATGTGTCAGGTTTTCGCGGACCAGTTTAACTATATTCGGTTATATGTATTGTTCAAGAAAAAGTTCTTGATTGTTTGATATTAAGTTTTTTTTCCTTTATGTTCAAGGGAATTGTTGGTGAAGAGGGTAAAGTTGGAAGTACGGGTATAGCTGGTTCCGATGTAAGTAGACAAGGGTTTTTTAAGCTGTCACTAGCATTAGGATATCTCCAAATTTGTTGAATTCACCGCTAATAATATATAAGTCCAATCTGTTGTTGGTCCATTAATTGTGAACAGTTCTTATCCATCTATGGATGACTTCTTGGGTGTACACCCCTTACTTTTCCCTTGTGATTTCATATGAAATAAGTATCCATCGGGTGACGTCTTCACTCTCTTAAAATTATCCTCCTCGCGGTTTAGCCGTTCTTAGTCAGGTATTCGTGAGGTAAAATTCTGTTCAAGACAAGTTCATGTCATTCATCTAATATGCTTCATTATTCAAATTCCATTTCAGGGAGCTCCTGGAACCGCAGGAAGCCTGGGTGCTCAAGGAAAAACCGGTCGAAAGGTGAGTTGTATTTCGATATGAATAAGCTTGACCTTATTTTTGAAACTGCATATAAATAAGATTTTCTAACAGTCCTGTTAATGGCGCATTGTAATCAGCAATCAACGTGCAAGAATTCTCGCGGTTTTTCAATATCTTTTTTTGATGTTTGCAAGTGTTAAGTCCAAATATCTTAACTTTACAGGGTGTGCTTGGTGACCAAGGTAAACAAGGCCTGCAGGGTGCACAAGGGCAAAAGGGACCAGCTGGAGCAGTAGGACAGCGAGGATCAACTGGATTAGAAGGTTTACAGGTAATATAAAACCCCCCTCCTCCCAGCTAGTCCTTGCCCCAAGAGTACACAAATAAATGATACCGACTATGCAGTCCGGTAATACTATCATTATAGCTTAGACAGACTGGGCAGGGGAAACACAAACAATTAAACCGATAGACTTTTGAAAGTGAATAAATAGTAAGACAGAAAACGCGTTAAGTCATAAAGAAGAAGAAATAACGACGAAGAAGAAGGTGAAGCAATAAAAACAAAAACAAAACGAAACAAAAACAAGCAAAACAAACAATGTTCAACAACAAAAAGTAGACAAAAAATGCTAATTATAACAAACATATTTCCAAGGGTCTTTCTCCCGGAATAACCTTTTAAGCACTATAACATAACTTCCTTACTTCTATAACATACATCTCCTCATAGTGCCATGTGGTCCTCATATTCATATCTTGACATAACAAACGAATAACGAAATCAAAATAATAGAGAAAATAATAGAGGAAATAATAGAGAATTCTTTAGCTTAGGCTTTCAAGCCAAGACAAGTATAGAAATTCCTCTAACGAATAGCTAACGGGTAGGGTTTTCATTCTGTGTTCTAGGGTGTCATAGGAGCAGCTGGAGCTAAAGGAACCGCTGGTGAAGCTGGCAAACAGGTTATTATCTCGTCTCTGGATTGCATGACAGCAACAATAGCAAAGTTTATTTGACATTTTAATTCGTTTCCCAGGGTTCTCAAGGTGAAGGCGGTGGCAAGGGAGACACTGGGAGTGTTGGACAGAAGGTAAATGTCTTTACATACAATCGGTCTTCGTAGGGGYCGCGCTATTGTTATGAAATATTCATTTAAATGTCTATCCATAGGGAGACCGCGGAGAGGCAGGTAGACGAGGCCGTATTGGTGCACCAGGACCCAAGGTGAGCATTATCAGTATGAGTTGCCAACTCCCTACACAAACGAGCTGTCAGTCGTGTGATGGGAACATCTCATAATAAAGACACTTCTGTCCTGTTCAACTGAACTACGAGCTTCTTCCTGAAGAGACTCTTGCATTTGACTTCAAAGCAGCTTCGTCTGGAGGGCAAAATAAAAGATTTTTGGCCTCTTGGGAACTAGATTCCATTGTTTTGTCCTCAGTTGGAGGTGCTCCCATGAACTGCATGCAAGGGATCTTTTATTGTTTTCATTTGGGTTGTCATATAAGCAATAAGACTAAATGGAATTAATCCGTTATTAACCTTATCTATTTATCGTTGTCTGCACAAATTGCAAAGCTATCGACGACATGTTGGATGTGTGAATAAGAAAATCATGAGGAATTTTTTGTTGTCTTCATTCAACATGGCGGCTGTGTCATTACATGCAAACCAAGAATATCCAATTTATGACTTCTTTTCTTTATGTTACATATTTTTCAGTAAAGTATTTCCATGTCGTGCTAACATGTTGTTTTTTATAGGGTATGTTTGGTGCACTAGGACCACCAGGACCACTTGGACTTCCTGGCGACAGGGTGAGAAAAACATAATAATGTATGTCTCTAATGGACTTAAAAGACGGATGAATATGTACATGGGCTTTGAGTTTAATTTATAAACGAGTATAGAGATAAAGTGGATAAAAACGATATATAATATTGCAATAGTTAGGTCTGGTTAGTATCATTGTGACTAATAATAATGACAATAAGAATATTAAAATGTTGCATATAACAAAGTTTCTATGCTTTACAATAATTAATAATGGAAACAAACACTATATTTACATCACTAAAAAGAAAGAAAAGAAACAGAGAGCTTAATAATTATAATAATTATAATAATTATAATTTCCAGGGATCATTAGGAGAGCCAGGAGCGTTTGGTCCTCCGGGAAGAGTTGGGCCGCCTGTGAGTACTTCAAGCTTGGTATTTTCTCTGTGTTTTCTACATTCTTTAATTCCTAATTCTATGTATTTTACTTTAGGGACCATCTGGTGATAATGGTATCAGAGGAGGCAAGGCAAGACGACTTCTTTACTAAATACGATATTCTAGATGTAGTTTACAATTCAAGTTAGTTATAATTTCTAAATGAGATTTTTCATTTCTTTGTGTTTTAGGGAGACCGTGGAAACATGGTAAGAATTATACACAAACAAACTTATTATAATCATTTTGTTGTTCTAAATCTTTATAACTAAAAACAATTAAGAAAGGAATTCTAATCAGTACATTTAAAAAGCGTTTTTATATAAACTACAATGTAGATTATGCAATTACGAAATTGTGCAATTTTTGATTAGTGGGTTGCAATAAAATGATTAAGAATCCAATGAACAAAGATATAACTGCCATATCGGATTAGTAACAGGTTAAACAGAAATACTTTGCAATTTTTCATTCAACATTGCGTCTATGTCGTCAAGCTCTGCATTTGAATGTTTGATTAACCTTAGAATTAATGTTCTTTTCTCTTTCTTTTAATGTAGGGATCAGATGGAAAACAGGTACATTTATATTTCACCATTTATCACTAATCTGAATTGGGCTGATTTCATTGTGGATCATTAGTACATAAAATAACGCCATACATTCGTTCCCATAGGGACAACCAGGGCCTCCCGGACCTCCTGGACCCCCGGTAGGTAGTTATGTAAAAAAATGAGACGTCATGACACCATTGTACAGCTTTTTAAAAAAAAGTTGTAGGAAAGAATGGGTGATGTGAATTGTCGAATTGGAGTTGCGAGACTGAAGGGAATTGTGGGTGTTGAATAGTTTTACCCAAGGAAGTGTTATTTTTATTCAAGCAACTTTTCTTCTCTCAGTTGCAAGGTAACAAAAGGAAATAGTGCGTTCAACGTAAACGTTTTAAAGACAATCTATAATATGATCCAAAATACGAATATAGACATTCACCAGCATGCCGTTTAAAAACAGAAGTGAGAGAGAGAGAAAGAAGAAAAGAGCGGGAAAATAGGAAAGAGGAAAATAGGAGAGAATTTTGCGTCACGATTGATCACCGATAATGATTATTTTTATTAATTATTTGTAAATTCTCGATTAACCTAACTGCATAACTTGGGATATAAACATAGCTCCTTTCGGTCGTGGCCTCACGATTCGACAATGTCCATTCACTTTTTCTCTCCGTATACCCGCAAGCTTAATCAAATAAATATATATGGAAGTAATTTGTTTATTCAGCTCATGATCAATTCTAATTATTTACATTTTCGCGTAGGGTACCATTTCAGGAACGTGGACGTCCGAAGCCATGCAAAGTTACGAACTTGGAGCACAAAAGACACCTTACAGACTCTATAACAGCCGTCAAGCAGTAAGTGACAAGTATAACCCCTACTAATGGATGTCTCTATGGCACGGACACCTTAATGTTACAACACCATATAGCCGATATTATGAACACCTCGTTATTACGAATATCTGAATGTATTTCCTCCCCAATGAAATTACAGCAGACACGTGATATTGCAGACACAAATTACCGTTCCGAATGTTTCTATTACATCCCTATAGTCCCTCGATGTATAATGATAATACAATTGTTTTTACAGGCAAGAGAAAAGATCGAGTCTGGTGGAAGTGTAAGTAATTATTGTTTCTCTTTCCAAAGTCATTGTCATAGGTCTCATAGCTAGCTCACGCTCTCTAAAATCCGCAAAGCATCTTGGGTGATTTAGTTAATTGAGTATAGTATTATTGAATTATTGACGAGAATTTGAACTTCCTTCAAGGAAAATGGCCATTAAAAACCAATTAAAGCATGCCTTAGATATAGTAATTTGCCGACATCCGTTGCGGTCTTATGGGAGCATGCGCTATGGATGTAAATTGACGTTAGATATATTCATTAAGGTTGTGACACCACGACGTGGACCCATGAAGCTAGGTTGTTCGTATAGTTCCACTTGCAGCCAAGAACCTTTGCTAGTCTTTCTTTTGTTTGATATCTCTTGTTTAAAGGCGATTTCTGATTTGTTCAAAATCAAAGATGGCAAATTTTCGTAAGTGCAAAAAGTTGCGCAAAGACTCTTGGATACAGTGTGCATTCAATTGATCGTTTTCAACCATTCCCATGAGATTCAGAAGATAAAAGACCGACGGCCATGTTGGAGGAATGAACAATAGATACTAGAAATCCTTTGTTAAAGTTCCTCCAAGATGGTCGCTGTGACGTAACCTGCAAACGAAGAATAAAAGATTTTTTTGTTTTTTTTAGAACACCGATCTTTTCGGTGACATTGTGACTCTAAGTTACGAGATCCAGAGCTTCAAGCGACCAACAGGCTCCAAGAACTTCCCTGCCAAAACATGCAAAGACTTACATATGTGCCATCCGAATCTCCGTAGTGGTGAGTACAAGAACATTTTCAATTCACTTCGTATTACTTTTTGTGGAAGCTTAATTGTTGTAGATGAATTCCTTGCGCTACTTATAGTTTCAATTGTTGTAATATGTTCGAGGAAGGTGCGAATCATTTAGTATTTGTTGTGGCTCTGGAAGAGGCCGCTATAGTCTAGCCACTTAGCTATGGTGCTGAGTTCGTGACTGAGTGAGTATAAACAGCACAGGGAACCCGAAATTACGTCACCATAAGATAGTGCATGGCATGGCTTCCTGTGTAAGTCTCATGCAGTTGACTGAGTGCCAAGTGGCTCGTTAAATTAGTTCTCTCATCTATGCATATGTAATTCATATTCGCCGGGAAGAGCCTAAAGCTCGAAGTAGTTTAGCGATGAAATTCCCTCTGAATTGAGTTACCATACATCGTTTATTTTTCTTCGATTTTTGATTTCAGCCATATCCATCAATTTAACATAGATTTCCTTCACATGTTCAAACGATTTAACAGCTAGCCACATGCAGTCAACGACTGCCTTTAATTCTATGTGCCTGGACTTTGATACCATGTGTTACAATTCCTGTCCAAACCACCACTGTGTGGTCGATGTAGGTGTTGCAGTGCATGTTGACATACCATATTGGTTATCATCAACGGTATCGTAATAGCCAAAGCTGTCGACATTGTTTTTACTCGGAGGATTAAAGTCGCACGGATGATTCCATGTGACATCAAGGTGAAAATGAAAATCATGACTTAACCCGTGCGTCGTGGAAGCCGTGCAGTCTGTACAATTGTATCCTCTGATGTCAATAAACTTGTATCTTTTGCATTCACTGCTAATCCTGTCGTTTAAGATATCCACGTCGCTCAAGGCACCAATAAGAAGATCTGGAGTCAATGACGCTCGATTTGGGAAGTCACAAGTAGCCCTGAACAATGTGGATATAGACTTGAAATGTTTCATTCTTATTAATCCCATACGGAAATTATTCCACTTTGGAGGGCTGTTATAATTTACAGAATGGCTCATGTAAAATGGCTTGCGTTCAAATATAGATTTGCTTTGGAATGAAAACGACTCGATCAAAATCCATGCCTGGTTGGGACTGACGAAAGAACAATAAACCGGGACCTCAACGTTTTTGCGATATGGCAACGCTATCATATACACACCGTCTCTAGGAACCGTGCTTGAATTGGACATGATATCCATACAAGAAAAAGCAAGTTTCTTTTCGCATACCTTGCCGCTATAATCAGAACTGCATTTACATGTGAACTTCTCTTTAGGAGTGTGGCAGTGTTCTGTGCATGTTCCTCCGTTCATACAAGGCTGGGATCGACAGCAGCCATTATAACACGAAACATCCAACGGTAGCATGTGGGATTCCTGTGTGGTTAAAGCAATTAGTTGTATGGTGAAATAGAATAACACAGAATGGGAAATGAAGTACTAATTGGATGGATGAAGAACCGAAACTTGATGGATGAACACATGCTTATTGTATAGATCTTGAATTTACCGAAGTGAAGAAAGAAAATGGGTTCAAAACTGTCACATTATCGAAGTTAAGACCGGAATGTAGTATGGGAAGGCAAATGATAAATATAGTATTATGTTTATAGCAGTGATTTAGCTCCAGAGCATTGACTGCTACTAGTAACAATGGCCTCCTCCGCGAGAAATTTTAAATATCGATACGTTAAATTAGGAATATATGATTCAGTTACCCAAAATCCTCCTCGGTCTTAGCTTTAATGATAATATCATCTTTTTGAGTGGACAACCTTTTTTGATTTGTTGTATCCAAACGAATGGAAGGAAACAATGTCTTACCCCTTGGTATATTGTTTGTCGGAGGTCAAAGTACAAATATCCTTCCTTGGAAACAAAATCATTGTTCTTGGACGTCTTGTCCTCATCCAGCAACTCACATCTCTTATCTTTCATCTGGCACGCCTTACAACGGCAATCTTGGACACAAGATGAGTAGCACTTGACTGGACTATCAGTGGTAATGTTATTGTACGAGTGGATTCCGTTGAGGTGTTTACCATAATAGATGTCTTGAGGCTCTGGGAAAAGTCCTCCAGAGTAACAGGTGCCAACGCAGTGGGATCGACCGGTGACGTAGGCGGTGGAGGAACACAGTACAACAATGATACAAGCTAGTCTCATGTTTGCGTCTTTTAAGATTTTAATCTTAATAAATCAAAGTAAGTTTATCTGGAAACAGAGTATCAGAAAGTGCACTTAGATATAATCGGGTTGGAAGAATTGGGAGAAGCGAAGTCAAAATACTAGAAGGCACAAGAAAAGAGAATTAAAGAGGCGTGAAGAGATTAGAAAGAAAGAGGAGAAAAAACGAAAAGAGAAGAGATTAGGAAATGGAGAGAGGATGTTAAAAAAGGCATAAAATCGATGACAACGAAGAGTACCAATCACCGAAAGGAGCAACAAAGACGAGAAAACACCCCTCTACTTTCAAAGAAAAAAAGGAAAGAAAACCTACATTCCGAATACAGCAGAAAAACCACAACAGCATAAGAAAAGGGAGAGATCTGAGTCGACTACACAATCAATGAAGAAAAAACTACTTTCCGTTCACTTCAACCGTAGGTGTTCCTGCGTTTCCCATATAAAACAATCCACAAAAACATCTCCATGGAAAGTTAAAAGCACGCATTTGTAAAACTTTCCTGTCTTCTTACGTCCACTTACTTTAAGTTCTTTTGTGTTTCCGACTTGTTTCTCGAAGTCATATGCACTTTCTAATACACAGTGATGATCCGGAATTGGTTTGTTGCTTTTTTACAAGTTAAAGTTAATTGTCATGGTAACATACCACATTTCATTTTAATAAGCTTTACGGCCACTTTTCAAAGGTTTTGTAATGAAACTGTTATAACGTGATCTGTTAATAATTTAAACTCTTTGTGTTTTTCGTGGACTTATTTTACTAGTCGTAATTAAATTCTCCATTGAGTATGTTGATGCTGAATGTTTTCAACGAGACATTCTGTGGTTTTATTCAGCGCAGGTTTTTCGAAAAATATAATTCCTAACCATGTATACTTACATATTATTAATCACGTTTTGCGCCAAGATTATCAGTTTTTCAGGTTGTTTTCGTACATGTCTAGTTTATGACGCTTGGTGACGTCCAAAGCTCTAATTGAATATCTTGATTTCCTGTCGAATCTCGGTGATCCAACATCACCTGTCGATCTTTTGTGTCTATTTCATATGTTGCGCAATCTTTCTTGTACGGAATTCACTCACATTACACCATTTTTGTTTGTTTGTCGACATGTGTGAAATTCCGTTATGTTCTAATTCATTCTCCCGCCGAAACAAATATAATACATTTTAAAATCATCTTATGCTGTAGTGAACATACTTGTAGGAGTGTGTCCTACGACAAGACGTGCTCGCCTTTAGTGGAGAAATACGGCCCAAGACTGTTGATTTGAGTCATCAGGTCTTATCAAGAGAAAATGAGCTCATTTTCTCTTGGTCTTATTCATCTTGAATTTTTCAGACTTAAGAGAATATAGTTCCCTATAGGAATTTGTGATAGAGTTGACGCATTTTAATCCGTGAAATTGTACAAAATCAAAATTAGTGAATCAATGCATTACAAATTCTGCATCATAATAATTGATAATATAATTGTGTTGCGACTGTACTCAGGATGCGAAGTGAATGCTGGGTATCCATTCTATGCATGGTTGGTTGCGTTTGACGTTTTTGGCTGTCATTGCTTTAATTATGCAGTGAATATAATCATCTGCATATTTTAATCAGCATCATCTCAACCAATCACTCACTGATTTTAAAATCGTTTATTTAATCATTGTTTGGTTACCATATTTTTGTAGGAAACTACTGGATTGACCCTAATGAGGGCATCCCAGACGACGCCATTAACGTGTATTGTGACTTTGAAACCCAAGCTACCTGCATTTATCCATTAAATAACACCAAGGTATTCCACAATCTTTTTGATTAAGAAATATTTAACGGCTATAACTTTAAAAGCAGAGCTCGTTCTTCTCCTAATTTTCTCTTTTGAACTCCATCTCTCACAGTGTTCATATTAGACAGGGGCGTGTTCAGGGGGTGGTTGCAGGGGTTCCAGAACCCCCCTTCCTTGGCAGTCGAAGACATTTTTGGCCAAGACAATAAGAGTAACATATTTTCGGATAGTTAACACTTTTTCGATGAATCCAAAACAGAGCATGAAACAACAAGATAAAGCTGTAATCCCACTCACGAGACCCCTTCACACACCCCTGTCAGAAAATAGAAACTCTACAATGTGGTGACATCTGTGCAGAATAACTGGATGTGTTTTTGAATTATATTTTTCCTAATCAGAGGCCTTATTTTCAGGTGTTCCAGAGCCCAAGACGCAAATGGTATTCTGGTCCAGATCAATACAAATGGTTTGGTAAAGAACTACAAGGGCTTGCAACGGTAAATTACCAGTGAGAATGGAAAAAAGGAATGAATAAAAAAAGCAAAATGCGAGGGAGCGAGGGATTTGTAATTCCCAGCTACGCCGGCATCGTACTAAAGTTGTTTATTTTCAGATGAAATACTCATTTGAGCCAAGTCAGTTGGTGTTTCTACGTATTCTGAGTGACAGAGCCCGTCAAAATATTACATACCATTGTCGCAATTCAGTAGCATGGTCCAACAAGCATTCTATCAAGATCGTGGGAGACAATGGCATTGAGTTCCATGCAAGCAGTTCTAATAAATTTAGACCCATTATTATAAAAGACGACTGTCATGTAAGTAGCCTTGTTTTGATTTATTGAATACTTATTGAATACTGGCTGGCTGGCTGGCTGGCTGGCTGGCTGGCTGGCTGGCTGGCTGGCTGGCTGGCTGGCTGGCTGGCTGGCTGGCTCAAATGGTTGGTTGGCTCACGTGGTTGGTTTGTTGGTTAAAGTGGTTGGTTGGCTCACGTGGTTGTTGGCTTTTGTTGTCGTTGTTGTTATTGTTTTCTTGATTAATTGTTTGATTGACAGCAGACTTGGCTTGTCTGAGTGATTAATTCTTTGTTCGTTTTCTTCAATCCTTTTAGATCAAAGACGGAAAATGGCGACAAACTGTCATTTCTGTCGATACATCCAAACCCTATCGATTACCAATTAGGGACATTGCAATGTACGACATCGGCGATCGAGAGGAAGAGTTTGGTGTGGACATTGGTCCAGTCTGCTTCTCCTAGTCCTGATCCCTCTCCTAAATTCTTAACTTAAATTCCCGCAGTTCTCTTCCCTTCTCCTGGTAGAAGTTTAATGCTTTCTTTCCAAGAATGTAAAATGGACATTCATGTACTGCGATTGGAATAAACTGTTCATATTTTACAAATATCCAGAAAATGATAAAAACATAGTATGGTTTTGATTTATTTCCTAGTAAAAATGTTTCATTTCGTGACTT